TGGAATAACCAGAAACTGAGCGGAAAGCCGGCTGGTTGCCAGACAGGGAGAGCAGACGGTCCCGGCCGGCCGCGCGCGGCGCTTGTGCGCCACTTGGTGAAGTTAATGTATCAGGACATAAGACTTCATGTACACTTTAAATAATTTACTAATTGATAGTTTTATTATTTATGTATTTTGACTTCCATTTAATTTTTTTATTACTTGACATTAGTGGAATACGCAATGTTGGAAACTTAACTATACTGCATGTTTGTAATATTATGTAACTATGCCTACTATTGACGTAGCAATGCCCAAGCAGGGTACATGTTTAGCTCTAAGACACTACAATTTAACATCCAATGTAGGTACTACATGATGCAACGAATAAAAATTCTGTATAATGTTATATTGGTCGTTGTTTATTTATTTATTCATAGGTAGGTACAGTTACAGTACATAGAATAGGTACTAGGTACTTATTTAGTAAAAATACAGCTACAAATCACTTACAAATCTATGAACCAGTTACAATTGCACACAACTATGCCTAATAACTTAAGTGCTTAGATACGAGTACAACAACAATGGATTTAGGATTCGCATGTTGAAATGGAATTGATTAGTCAACATTATTATTTTAAACCTTAAACTACATTGCTTGTCTTATTTTTATATCGTACAAAGCTAATACCTACTTTGTATTAAACTAGTCACAACTTTTACATAGATGTAAGTAATTATTGTAAAATACAATCACTTTTTAAAAGCTTTTATTTTTTACCCTGAATGGCGGACGTTTCGCGATGAGAATGAAATTCATCATCATCATTTCATCCCCAGGACGTAAGTAGGTACACTGCTGAACATAGGCCTCCCCCATAGGATGATTTCCACATCGCCCGGTTGGTAGCGGCTTGCAACCAGCGTCTTCTTGCTACATTCAAGAGGTCCTCGGTCCACCTTGTGGGTGTACATACCACGCTGCGTTTTCCGAGAGGAGAGGATATTATATGGGATTATGCCACCTTTTGTATTGTAAGAGTCTCCTTCCGAACCTTTGTTTGTCACCTGCCATCCGCTTTGCAATGGAGGGAAGTCGAACCTTATCATCGAACTCCTCCTATGTTCTTCTGATTATTTTCGTTGCGAGTCCAATGACAGTTTAACTTTACCCAGGGACAAACTTGACCTTCACTGGTTGTTTTTTTATGGGCGGTCAAGCTGTAGATCCTGGCTACACAGGAGTTGCAGCAGTGGGATCGAGAGGTGGGAATAGTCCCGTATTTTTGTACAGTGAATACTGTGCAATAGTTTATAATTTAAAATATGAAAAAGAAGGATTTTCGGTGACCCATTCATGCGCTTGGCTGCTCTTGGAAAGCTAAGTGGATTAAGTCCATGTTAAAGTTAGCTGGAAAGCTATAGCAGGAAATGTCAGTAGATAATATTTTGAACATTAAGAACTAAGTTTGGTTGATAATGCGATTAAATTATCTTTGGCAAAGGTCGCCGACTGATTTGCGTAAGAACGGAAAATTTGAATTGTTGCCCTTTATGGTTTTTGCTTTGTTATGTCATGTAAAATGCCACAATTTCGATATTATTATCACTCTGGGCCAATCTACTTGCGGGTAAGTAAGTTTTTAAGTTTTGTGATGAAAGTTGTTCCTCAGATTACATGACAAAATTCACCCTTCCACTTGATTGACATTTCCGTACTTATGTCGCCGATTTCAACACGTCCCAGTCTAGGTGCGAAACTGGAAACAAGTAGGTAGGTACCTTCTTGTACATAATACAAATATTGTACACACGGCCACTCTCGCTCTCATCAAATGGTGATTCTTTGCGATAGAACGAGACGACATGACAGGCAATGGATAGTTAACACTGTTGCCGATGGTACGTACACTGCACTGCACTACATTCTTGATTAAATAGACTGCTCAAAAGATTTTTTCAATTAAGCTAGATTAATACGCGATCTGAGCTTTGCTGTATTCAACTTTCAAAAACAAACCCCAAAAGTATGTTTTATGCTTTATTCCAGCAAAATTCAAACTTTAACACTTAGTTTTATTATTTATTTAATTAGTTCAAACTGGAGATTCGGTAATTTTTTATTGCAATCATTACAGCTATTGCTCTTTTAAGTGATACCTACCTACGAGTGTCTATAATCTGCGAATCCTGTCGCAAATGTCGTTTACAGTGTTTCCAAAATACAGTGATCCCCATTAATTATTTAGAATTAACGGTATAGAGCGAGCGAAGGAATTACGAAATACCATCCCAAGAAAAGCTACGAGGCATTCTAGTTGTCCGGCCCTACTAATTGGCAGATTGGCAAGACGGACAATTGTTTCACGCTCGGAGACGTTTTTGCGTTTAACATGCACCTAAATAGTAAAGTAGATAATGGGCTGATTGTACGTCAGTACAACCGAGACAGAGGTGGCACTCCTTAGCGAAAATAGGTTTAAGGTACGTCTGTAGATTGCTAAAATCAAGTGGCAGTGGGCGGGGCACATAGCTCGTAGAGACGAGGGTCGTTGGGGCAGAAAAGTTGTCGAGTGGCGACCACGAGCCGGAAGGCGTAGCGTGGACAGGCCTCCCACTTGGTGAACCGACGATCTGGTGAAGGTCGCGGGAGGTGCCTGGATGCGAGCGGCGCAGAACCGGTCTTTGTGGAAATCCTTGGAGGCTTTTGTCCAGCTGTGGACGTCTTTCGGCTGAAACGAACGAACCTCTGCAGCTCTGTAGAGTCACTTTTATACCCCTAATTTATAGAAATGGAACAATAGTTTTTCTGCAATAACAGATGGGTTATTATGGCGTGATAACAATGATTGCGTGATGATGATTCATAGTTCCTAACGTGTTATTTCAATTGCCCTTTCAAAGTTTCCACAAACCATCAATTCTATGGAGAATTTTCCCAGCCAATTCATATAAATTATGCATAAGTGTTCCGAGTTCGGGTTTTGTAATCTGTATTAACTACGACAGTTACTAAACTATACCTAATTTTGATTCAACTACTGGATAAGGTGAAGTAAACCTTCTTGTATACAAACACAGGCAATTCAATAATACTACAATAGTTAAGGACGTAATTAAGCTGCTTTACACCAATAAACAACAACTTCTACTTGGTAGAGATCCAGAGGTGTCCACGGATTGATGCATTAGGAAAAAGGGGATTGTCTAAGAGAGACTTAATCTGTGATGGCGTAACCTAGAAGATGGAAATCGTTTTGATTTCTTGTTGGCATGAAGGCCTAACCCTAACAATACATAATAGGTATATTAATTTTAGGAAAATTGCTCTACTACGAATTGTGGGTTATCTCAGATCTTAACGTAGTTAATGTAGTTTAAGTACTTCTTGGTTCTAGACATACAAGTCCTCCGGCATGTTTGATTGTTTACCTACCAAGGAAACGTATTTAGTTGTATTTGGATCATTACCGTGGCCGCGGGGGACAAGAAACCAGCATTAGTGTCGCTCTGGATCAGGAAATGCAGCGAACGCAGCGGCAATAAATGGGGCGAGTCACTTTAGACGCATTGGCGCTTACGTGCATTTGCGTAGGCGCACACTAGACGACACGCGGGGCAGCGACAGCTCGGCGACTTAAACGTGACGACGAGCTGCGGTCGACAATTTCATATATTTTTTTGTTCAAAGCTTCGCGTCAGAGTCGCGGGGTCGCGACGACAAGCTATATGAAATTGACAAGAATATTCGTCTAGTCGGCGAGCTGTCGCTGTCGCGTGTCGCCCAGTGTGCGCCTGCACTTTGCGTAACCGATGACCGGCTTCATGTCCATCTCAATTCTCACAGATTATGCACGTGTCAATTTTGATCAACGCTGATTACTGTGCCAATTACTTATTTTTATGTTGACGACTTTCTGTAGCTTAAGTTGTAACCAAATGGCAAGTGATTTTACATTTTGTGCTTGTAAGGTTCAAAAATCGATTATGCTTGGAATCTAATAAGTTCAATGTAATGTCATGATGAGGAGAACAAAATGATGTTATTAAAACATTCTTACTGTCTGTGTGTCTATATGTTGCGGTAAAAGTAATAATAGTGATGAATTGAAAACTATTCATAGTCATTCATTCATTCATAAATATGTAGTATGGATATAAAGTGTCAAAATAAGTTTTAATTTTTCACATATAAAAATGATAAATCATAGAGGTAATTACTCGTAATAATAAGGACCGATAATTATGAATATTTTCAATTTATCACATTTACCGTAACAGTTCTAATATCTAAATACTATATGAGTAGGTATTCGGAAGTTAAGGATAATAATATATAGAGCTTTCACACACTGATAAAAAAAGGTTTCCATTTAAAATTTGCTGTGATTTAAACAAAGTGGACACCTATTTAGTTACTTGTAGGTAGTTTTAAATTTATAAATTGATATTATTTGTTATAATACTATGTATTTAGACAGAAATAAAACATTATTAATATTCATATTATTATACCTAGTCATTGTCTTAATTAGAGATGCTCGGTAGAATTAAAAATCTTATAATTATTTATTTGTACTAATTATCCAAGTATTTTGTAATAGAAATATTTAATAAAAATATAGCTTTCTGTAGAGATCAATTAAGAGTTATCATAATTTACTGTCTTTATTCTAAGAAAAACAATTTCCATAATAGCTGTAACTGCTAAGATTATCTTTAAGTTTTCTCTAAAATTTTCCACAGACAAAGCCTCAAATAAAACTTAACGCACAATTTTCTGTGACGAATCTGTGAACCTACATATATCAAAAAGTTTTATAGCGGTCTAGCTTACACCAAAAGTGTTACGTACTATTACATATTCGGGTTCGACATATTAGCTATGCATTTTAGACAATTAAAATTAATTGCATATTTACTTTATCAATATGTTTTATAGAGTTTAGAGTAGGGGTTGTGGACATTCACTGTCATATAAAAGGCTGACTCGGAGCTTGCAGCGTCACAACAGTTGAAACTTTCAGATCATCGGCAGTTGGCGTAGAGGAGGAGGAGTACTATCCCCCCACGCATCATGGCTTCCTACTTGGCCGTGAGTAGACCTGGACATCTCGCCAGGACCTTTTTACTCTTTGGACGTTGTGTGGAATATCAATAATATACACGTATCGTGATCAATAAAACAGTGATGAGGCACCATTATTTATTAATAAAACGAGTATTTCTAATGAGACTGTAACAATACATAACTTTAAAGTACTCAAAGTTTCGTTAATCAAGTGTTTTCGGGCAAGTGGGTGATTAACCTGCTGTACCCTAGTCCGGTGGTGCCTGGCGGGCTGCCACCTCAGAGCTTCTGGACTCGCTCAAAGCCTTACAATCCTGATACTCGTACTGAAATAATTTGTGTTAACTTAATGTTTAATAGTTGGGCTAATATTATAATAATTTTAAATTAATTTGTTAAATTCCTTATCATCAATCTTAATGAGGTGTAATAATTTATATAACATACGGAGTAAAAAGTTGATGCAACAATAATTGATCAATGAATACTCTGAGAATTTGTACGATGAGTGTATTGTGCCAAATGAATAATCACTGCATAATGTGATATGTGGTCCGATCGAGAGGTGAGGAAGTACGGTCGTGCACAGGAACGTGCATCGCACGCGCACGCGACTGCTCGTATTACCTCTTATTACATCATTCGGAACAACAGATCTTATCTAGTACACTGTAGACATGATCTCTGCTTTAATTTACCGAGACTTCATAATCATTGTAGCATGGCTGTGTTATTAGGAACGTTCTAAATAAGCATATTGTTATAATTTCAGCTGAGCTGCTTTCTACTGGCTAGCGTTGGCGTCTGCTTCGCGACTTTTGGAGGACATGAACAGTTAGTAATTTTTTCATGTTCCCACACCTCTGCCGGTTTCTCCATCCACTACAACCTATTGTTTTACAATTTGCTAACGACTGGGTGCTTTTTCGCGCATTTAAATACCGATTAGCTTCGCCAAGACGCTGCGTACCCGGGAACCGCAAAAAAAATGTGGATGGAGTAATTTGGTTGAGATTTCTATAAGCGATTCTCACGCGTCTCTTCATTGCGGTAAACGGTGAAAATCAACCATTGTGTTTAATGATAGATCTACCCTAACACTTTGTTTTCACTGATGTCACGTTTGACCTGCTGGCTTTGCGATCTATTGTTCTGTTTTATAGATATCTATTGTATCAGTGCTGTAATTTTTCTTGTTCCCAGTTTAATGGCTTTGTGACTCAACGATTCAATTTATTGTTACAGTGTTCACATCCGAGTGCATATACCTGAGGAATCTCACTCGTCTAAAGAAGTGATAGTCCACGAACACCACGATGACCACGGCCATGGCGGAGGGGGTGGTTTTGGCGGAGGTCACGGTGGAGGTTTCGGCGGCGGCGGCGGCTACGGCGGCGGTCACGGAGGTGGCCACGGAGGCGGCCACGGAGGCGGCCACGGAGGCGGTGGTGGCTTCGCTGAACACTTGCACGGAGGATTCGCTGACCACCTGAAAGGCCACGGAGGATTCGGTGGAGGCCACGGAGGAGGCCACGGAGGAGGTCACGGTGGAGGCCATGGTGGCGGCTACGGAGGCGACGACCACGGACACAGTATATCCATAGGAGGTGGATTCGGAGGCGGCCACGGCGGTGATCATGGACATGGAATCTCGATTGGTGGTGGATTTGGCGGAGGCCACGGTGGTCATGATTTCGGTGGTGGCCATGGAGGATCAGGAGGACATGACTTTGGAGGAGGTCACGGTGGTCATGACTTCGGAGGAGATCATGGTGGTCATGACTTCGGAGGTGGTTATGGAGGTGGACTAGATTTGGGAGGTCACGGAGGATATGACTTAGGTGGTGGTCATGACATCGGTGGAGGCCACGGAGGCGGACACGGCGGCGGTTTTGGTGGTGGATTTGGAGGAGGCCACGATCACGGCGGCGGTCACGGCGGCGGCCACGGCGGCGGCCACGGCGGCGGCCACGGCGGTGGACATGACCACGGACACGATATTGGAGGTGGAATCGGAGGCGGATTCGGAGGTGGTTTCGGAGGCGGCCACGATGACCACCATGGCGGCGGTGGATTTTCTGGTGGATTTGGAGGTGGACATGGATTCTCATCGGGTGGACACGATAGCTACAGTGTAGGCGGAGGCGGACATGACATCCACAGCTCAGGTGGTTTCGGCGGCGGACATGACAGCCACGGCTCAGGAGGTTTCGGTGGTGGACATGACAGCTACAGCATCGGTGGCCACGGAGGTGGTGGCGGCGGCCACGATAGCCACGGATTAGGAGGATTCGGCGGGGGTGGTCATGACAGTTACAGTGTCGGTGGTCATGGAGGAGGCGGTGGTCACGACAGTTACTCTGCTAGTCTCGACTCATTCGGTGGTGGACATGGTCATGGCGGTGACAGTTATAGATTAGGCGGTCACGGAAGCTCGGGAGGTCATGGAGGTGGTTTCGGAGGCGGCCATGGTGACAGCTACAGCGTAGGCTTTGGAGGTGGTGGCGGCCACGGAGGTCACGGCGGGTTCAGCCTGGCGGACCTCGGCGGCGGCGGGCACGGCGGACACGGAGGCGGACACGGAGGCGGCCACGGTGGCGGCCACGGAGGCGGTTTCGGTGGCGACAGTTACACGAACGCGTTAGGTTCTGGCCATGGAGGAGGACCGTACCATAAAAAATGAACGTCATAGCGACAGAATGAAGGGAGCCAACTAAGTCATAGCCTTCTGTTTATAATACGGGCATAAAAGCTCGTTTTACGTACAAAGAGTGAGGGTACAATTGTTGTAAATAGAATATAGGATAAGTTATTGTTATTTCGTTATAGTAAACATATTTAATTTAAAATTTGTTTTATTTGCATTTTATATCTTACTCAGTCCACAATACAATTGATATAATGTGTGTGAATAATTCTAACACTGTCATTAATTAATATGGTATCACTTTGAAACCAGCATGTACTCGTAATAATTACTTCATTAAGATATTTATCCATAAAATTACAGCATAATACCATTGTAAAAACAAAATGAATCTGTCTACTAACAATTAACTAAAAAATATTTCACACACAATTAATATCTTCATTATCATCAAGTTATTCACGTAATGAGCTGTGAGACATAAAACTAGGAAATATGGCCAAACAAAAGAACGACTTCAAGGAAGTGATTATAATGAAAGGAGCTTGGATTTGGAAGATTAGAACATCAAGATACTTTAGTGACGTAATGCAACTTGTATGGAGAGCTTGTCTAGAGGGTCTCCGGTTATGTAAGCTGCGCGGGCGCGCCCTCTCACGTGAGCTTTCGCAAAGTTCCGTTCCCTAGTTGCTTCCGGCATCGTAGAGTTTATTTGTAAACAGGATAAAGGAAAATAAGTATTTGAACTTCGTAGAAAAAAGTTACAACTACAATTTTCATTTTCATCGGAGAATAAACTTGTAAATAGGTAGGCTATTGCAATAAAACTTCAAAGATTTATATTACACGGAATTATTATGATTTAAAAGCTGTATTTATGTAGAGTCTAAACAAGTAAATGTAGAGTCTAGTCTAATAAATAGATGTTATATAATTTTAATTAGCATGGCATCATCTGTATGTTTTGTGATTCGTACTCATTGTTTGCGTGGGAGTTACAGAATGTAAATGAAATTGCAGGAACATAGAAAATTTATGAAAGTATGGGAATTTTATAACCTAGAATTTTTAAATTTTCAAACTGTCGTACACAAAGGCTGCCCTGTAGACATAGCTTACTAACAATTCCCGCAGCTTCACCGGGGTGAAATTAAATTTGTCAGATCATTATAAATTACAGCAAACAATAAAACAGTAAAGTTTCATCAAAATCCGTTCAGTAGCTTTTGCCTAAAAGAGTAGCAAGTATCCACGCAGACAAAAAACCCATGAGCGTTTATAATATCAGTAGTATTGCATAACCGCGTCGTATATACTAGACATCTATCCTACTATTACATTCATGCATTAGGTACTTAACAAAATGTGTATTCACAAAGCTTTATTCAACGCTGTGCGTTCGATTTGCTGCTTCACTTAAGCAAGCATCGCTTGTGAATACGGGCGTAAGAGATCCTGGTTCAGCGAAAGGGTTGTAAATATAATGGAAATCCTTGGAGGCTGCCTTGTCCAGCAAGGCAGTTTCAGTTAAAAGAGTTCAGAAATTTTATTTAAAGCTAAAACGTACCTCTTACGGTATGTACAAACATATTACGTGTGTTTTGATTATTGATTGTGATGAGCCATTACTACCATGAAAATTCGTGAAAAAGACGTGCACTTTACATTCTTATAGTTTTAAATTAAATGTTTCCTCCCGTAGAGTTTTATTATACACATTAAACAGCAAGACAGGGTAGTACGGCGCTCAAGGAAAACCCTGAAAAAAGACAAGCCACAGAGAAGACCTGATGATGTACCTTTATTAAACCATTTCCAATTCAATTGTTTTATTTATGTCTTAAATGTCACGATATTATAGCAATTCCAGGCGCTTATTTATTTACTCTATGTAATGTTGCACGAAAAATAGCTTTATTGTTTAGTATTTTTAATGACAGTAAAACTAATTTCATATTTGGTTACCAATTACCTACCAAAAATTGAAGCGAAACAATTCCAAATCAGACAGCAAAATGTTTGTTTTTTGGTAAACAATTAATTTGATGATTTATTAACTATTTGTCGTAATCAGGGATTTATTTATTATTTTGGTGAACGTAGTTTGTAAAACGATGAGACAACTTATGTATAAAACAATGTGAAAGTGTGCCCTACATGGTAAATTCGAACCTGATTAGATTATGTAAGCTTCTTCCCATTTTAATTATAAAAATAAATGATTAAAAATTTTTTTCAATAATAAAAATTGACATATGTACTTTTGCAGAACAACCATTTCAAAAAAATAGAAAAGTTCAAGCATCTCTTTCAAACCTGATGTCAGATTTTATGAACCTGACATGACTGAAACTGAGCAAATCACAAATGTGTGCACCTTGAGACACTACAACAGTAAGGCTGGGTTGCACCATCTTACTTTAACTTTGACAAACGCGAAAAATCTGTCAAAATCCATACAAAAAGCACCGGTTATCGTCAAAGTTACGGTCTAAGTTAGGTGGTGCAACTCAGCCTAAGATCACTAACGCCTATGTTAGAAGTAACGCAATATTCACTAAAATGCAGAGAGCAGTGTTAGTAATGAGCCTTACGTGACTGAAACTGAAAAATCACAAATGTGTGCCCCTCGAAACGCTACAACAGTAAGATCACTTACGCTTACATAGGCGAATATTGCGTTACTCTTAAAATTAAGAGAGCAGTGTTAGTAATATAAGTCTAACATGATTGAAATTGACCTCATCACAAAATGTGTGCCCCTCGAAACACGGCAAGTGTAAGATCACGTATAACGCCTGTGTTTGAAGTAACGCAATGTTCAGTAAAATGAAGAGAGAACTGTCAACAACGAACAGGCGTACAGCTTACGTACGCCTGTGAAAGGTTCACCAAAGAATCATGTTGTAAAATACATTATGTTAAATAAGTATACTATGATACCTAAATAAATTGTGTCGATTTCCGCTCATGATAATTTTTGACAGAGGCAGGTGAAACTCGTGTTTTTCAGTGGTACTTAAATTCTTGCATGTTTTATTTGAACCTAAATACTATACAGGCTTCCATGAAATCTATTATTAATACTATGCACAGGTAAGTACCTACTCGTATATTAATTGCTTGATATAGCAATATAAACATGTTAAAGAGCTCGGATTCGTGATGATCTTGCAAGATAGTGTTTTCTTGAGAAATCTGGTTTCAAGGACAACTTTATTTGAAGACCGTTGTGTCAAAAGTAGTCAAAATCTAGATGTATCTTTACTTACCTTCTTGATGATTTCGTTGAAGACACGGGATTTCAATGTAAGCAATGGAAGAAGCTAGGTAATTCTTGGAATTGTTCGTATTCCAAAACGATGCATACTTAAAACTCGATCTATGCTTACTACGTTATGTTATGTTAAGGCCTGTGAAATGAATTGTGGACATGTTTGAATCTCTTATAATGAGATCACAGCTGAGCATTGTTTTAGAATACCGGTCATAAACACGAAAAACACTATAATAAAGAAAAAACGAGTGTGTTAGGGACTTTTTAATTTTATACTACACTTCGCCTAATGATTCGTACAAAATGCATGAATACCATTGTCGTCTCGCTTTTTTATAGCTAATAATCGGAATAAGATTATTTTAGCTATATTAACACGGCAATAAATAAAATGTTCCAAAGCAGTAGATTAAATTATTATCAACTCACTCACGGCGACGCGCATAACAAATATAGAACTAAGATCACGAACAATTACTACAATACACACGATAACTATATACAACTACTAAAGCACCACTAGTGTTCAAATTTTGTCACCATATTTTAACTGTCCTCTAATGGATTCTGCGTCGGAATCGTGGAGGTACTTTTCCTGGTGAAGTTTGTGCTGCATCGGTCTATCATCGGCTTTGTAGTCCTGTAGCACCGGGTACCTTTGCCTCGAGTCCCGGTCCGGACCGAGGTTGAGGCCTTTTTGTTTCGGTCTCCGCCTCGTCTCAGCCTCAGCCATGAATTCGGGAGGTTCTGTAGACGCTGAATTAGAACTCTGCATCTCAAAGTAATGTGCTGAACCAGTAGTAGTTGCTATTGATGGCGCGTGTGTCGTAGATTGCGTCGGAGCTTCTGCGTATTGAAAGTTGTCATTTGAAGCCTCCGGCATAGATGCTTGTTCGTTCTGCATTGCTTTTGCAGCCATCGACGCATAGTAATGATATGCAGGTGAAGTTTCCCGGATGGTGTAGGGCGTAGACGGCACTGGGTCGAGCGGTTTGTTATCGTCGAAACTGCTGAAACTATCTAAGGCTGTCGGAGTGTCGTCATCGTTAAGGTCAGCGGGCACGCCACTCTCCTCCAAGTGATCAATCATAGTCTGATGGTCCTGTCCACCAAAGTTTATATTTTGTGTTGATACTGATTTTTTCTTGCCCTTGGCACCTTGTAAAGATAAAATGGAATTATCATTTTTGTCTTCCGAAGTGTGAACATTTGACGATGAGGCATACGTATCATATTCGTAATTATTGGCATAACCGTCTTTATAGTTTACGAATGGATCTTTAAACTTTGAAAATCCTGTCGGGGGTAGAGCGCCAGTGTATGATTTCGGTTGATAGTCGTGTACGACGGTCGAGGACACGGAGAAGGGCGATGGCACGCTGGCGGACTGCAGCCTATAGTCAGAGACACTGTTCCCATAAGCACGAGGCTTGTGCTTTCCTGGTAACTTAAATGATGGAATTGACCTGAAATCATCGAAGTTTGACTGCGGTTGCGTATCATACTGTGGGACTTTAGGCTTCGGTATTTTTTTTAAACCAGTGTTGAATGGTGTAAATATACTTTCATAATAAGAATAATCGTTAGTTTGGGTCGGTTTTGTTGGTTTGGGATGTTTATTAGCATACTTATATTTGAACCTCTTATTGTTAGCACTGTTTGCACCATCTGTATTTATTCTTAAGCCTTGGCTATTGTATGATACTTTCGGCGGGTAGCCTAATGTGTCTTTTGTTATATCTAAATCAGATGGTATCTCACCATGGTCATGGAAAATATGATCGTGAGTGACATCACGTGGATTGTAACCGGCATATTCTAATTGAGCTGGGTTTGCTAATGAGCCAACGGCAGAGAAACCGCCTAATGAATTGGGCGGGATTGCCAGTAGAGCCTGGCCATTGTTAAAAGGAATAAAAGGACGTGCTCCGCTAATGGCTGACATACTCCCAACTGGATCAACTAGTTTTGACCCATCGTCAAATACTACTTTATGAATGTGTTCTTCACTGTATGTGTGGATATGTTCGGTGTCTCCGTCGACAATCTTTTCGACACGTGGTGGCTTCTTGACTTTTCTGATAGTCCCTGACAAATCTACATCGGAATAAAATTGCTCATGAAAACTTGACACTGGATGTTCTTCTTCTGTTGGGGGTCTTGGTGTTCTGACTGCCGGACGCTTCGGCTTAGGTTTCCTTGTATTCTTCTTACGCGGAATATCGTTAAATTTTACGACTTTCACTCTTTTTGGTGGAATCGGTAGTGGACCGGCCGAAGGTCCAGTGTAGTCTGAGGCAGCGTAGTTGTTGTCTGTGTGCTCAGGCGGAGGCGAAAGATCGTATTCTTGTTCATCCCAGTCGGATGGAGTGGGGCCATAATATCCTCTCGCTCTGTAAAGCGGCAGGAGTTTGGAGGCCGCCGGCGTGACCCCCGGCAATCGTGTCTGCGGCTCGTCGTAGAGTTCCACGGAGTTAAAAGGAACCAAGCTGGCTACGGCTGGGAGCGCAACATTACTGGGCAAAGCCATCGCACCCTCCGCACTTGGTAAATAGGCCGGTGCATATTGGGAGGATGCGGGATGGTTCGTGATGTAAATCTTCTTATGGTGGTGTATGTGCTTCACTTTTTGTGGAAGATGTATACGTATCTTCTTTCTGAAACAAAAGAAAATTAGAGTTGCGGTATTCTGTCGTAGTCAATGAGTCGCTTGCATGTTCGTCAATGTGTTTTTATGGCCGACGCTGTTCCGCTAAGTGTCAATGGCTCAGAGCGTGATGCGGTAGTGCTTTCCCTCTCGGAGCCGACGGTACGAACGTCGGCCGTCACACTTGATATATTATCAATTCTGATTTTTATTGTCACTTTTTTACTCAGCGCGTATGTGAACCTTGGGGCCTGACTCTCACTTTCTAGTCCGCAGGCGGTGATTACCTATGCCTGGATGGCGGCTCATCAATGTTCATGCAATTATCGCATAGCGGAGAAACATACAAATCAACTCGCATTCGCCGACTCAGTGACATTGACAATGTAAACAGTTTCCATCGCAAAGCATATAGACTTTCGCTAGCTCCATTGATAAAGTAATTTTCTCGTAACACTATAATTGTTGGTTCATTCAATCGTTACTTTGCCCCTTTCTATGAGATTAGGTATATCAACTCACGTTGCTTGAAGCATGGCAGAGCAGTAGTAGCTGAGTGAATGAATCCAACGCATCAGCAAACGGTGCTTAATATCATCAAAGCTCATCAAAAAGTTTGTTTTGGATCACATTTACACATAATCGAGACAGATGATTTAATTCTCTCTTAACGCAACTATTTTATTACTTACTTGGGCCCTTCTGCCTGGACCTTTACTGAAGCAACAGCTATTAGAAGAGCGAACTGTAAAAAAACAAAAGAACTTTTAATTATAGTGTCGGCGTAACAGTACGACACATACGACAAAATATGATGTAATACACGTAAAAGTACATAATGTTATTTAAAATGATGTGTAAGTAATAATGTGATTTAATAAAACTATGAGAAATAGCAAAAAGTCTTTGAAGAATCTTGGGGTTGGCTTTAATAAAGTCAAAAGTCACCACTGACAAAGTTAACATCAAATAAAAATTCAGTTTTAGGAATAAACGATATGAAGACAAACTAAAGGATTTTCATTGTCAATTTGCACTAAATTGTCAAAGGCACCAATCCTCCTACTTTTCCCCTAAATTGAGGTCACTTTCGATCGATTTATATGGATTTTTTGTAGAAGTTGTGTCTTGGAATTGTTGGTTTATGGTGTCAACCACCAAATTGATAAGGACATAAGCACTTGATAACAATGATTACAACCTTATGGTAGTTTTATTTATATGTCAAAGTATATTCATTGATTCTCCACTACATTTTCATAATTTTGTATATGTTGCCAAACCTCATAATCAGTCAAAACCACTTTTGACGGGAAAAAAAACAAAAGTGGTTTTATATTATTTTAAACTTTCATGGTCACTCATGATTATTATTACTGATGTGTTTATTAAAAGTGGTTTTACATAAAACCAGACGAAATCACTTTTGACTAACGCCCTTGGTCAAAACCACTTTTGACTGGAAAAATCAGTCAAAAGTGATATTGATCAAGGGCATCAGTCCAAACCAAATCAAATCCAAAATCAAACCTCTTTTGACTGATTTTTGCAGTCAACAGTGGTTTTGACCGAAGAGTTTTGACTGTAACATATACATTCAGATTGGTTATTGAAGCACACTGAGATATTTAAATTCAATTTAACTTAAATCGGAAACTTTGGACATCTTGTATGTTATTATTAACCAACTGCGAGCGGAAAAGAAAGTAATGCGGAGGACGATTTCGATGATTACCTATTACTTCAATAAATTTGTGTTTAAATTACAATGTGCAGCTGTGTTAATTAACCTCTTATGTAGGTAATCATAGGTTTTATTACCCGACTGCGCCAGAAGGATGGTTATGTTTTTAGGATGATATTTTTGCATGTTTTGTTTGTTCATTTTCCGTGATTTTCACTCTCTGAATCTTATGTTTCAGTCGTTCACATATTCTACTTGTTAAATTATTAGTATTCAGCTTGGATTACTAATGTTTGGCCAAAAAACGTTTCCCAAATTATCACATCGCAAACAACATTTCGCAAATTTTCATTTGGCAAATTCTCATTTGGCAAAGCAACTTATTGCAAACTTTTAATTCGCAAATGTTTTTTTTGGCATATTATTGTTTAGCAAATTATTGTTTGGCAAAGTATGGTTTGCCAAATGTTTCATTAGGCAAGAATATTTCACGATAAACCATTTACAAAATAATTTGATTGGTGCATAGAATGGTATACAAATTAGCTTGTGGTTATTATTTTGTTTAGTGGGTAGTTAATATAAAATTTGTTCTACATTAATTTCCTTATTTCATTATTTGTATCGAAATTTCCAAATGATTCATTAACAATAGAGGTGATTCTAACCTAACCTAACCTACTATTTTCCGCAATACCTACTTTTTGCAACCATACTATTTTCTGCAATGTTTTACATAAAAATATTGTGAAAACCATGATCATGTGCCTTTTGCTTTGATTTGTGGGTAGGTAACGGTGGGTAAGTAGGTATGTGAAGTGTCAATTTGACCAAACAAATTATTTGGGATATAATATTTGGCAACATAAAACATTTGCTATATAAACATTTGCCAAGTAAAATTTGGCCAAATGATAATTTGACCAAATGAATTAGTTGCGAAAAGTACAGTTGCTAAAAGTTCATTTGGGAAATGAAACTTTGGCGATAAGTTGTTTGCGAAGTGAAATTTGGCGAAAAGTAATTTGGCCAAACGGAAGGATACCATTCAGCTTACAATGGAGCACAATTCCTTATTTTACACTAACTATTTAGGTACTTCCTTAGATTAATTCTCATAAATTGACTTTTTTAAATTCGTAATTTGAAATCCATCCTAGAGTCACATTTGTAATCTTAAAAAATTAATAGTTTAAAAAACTAAAAACACGCCACATTATATGTTCCTATGGCCACCGTCCAGTTCCATCATCAGACCAGCTGATGGTACCATAATTAATGTATTGTCATCTAATCTACATATTATACATAATTGCCAAGATTCATGATGATACAAGGATTAGAAGTGCGTGTAATTCAGATTCTATGACTCCATTACATAGTTACATACACGAAGACCTGATAAAAGCGTGTTAAAAACCTGAACTTTTATCCATTTACTACATTATTCAAAATGGTGCGTAAAATCTAGCAGCAAATAATGTAAATTGACCTGATTTGGCATGCTATAACCAAGATCTACTTGATTTTCTAGTAATCAATCAAACTGAAGAAAAATTGCTTCCTATCATGTGATATAGGTAAAATATTGAAGGCCATTTTTATAGCGCGATAAAATCAACTGCTTCTGGTGGGAACCACGATCAGGAAGGTGACAGGATTTCGCTATAGAGCGCTAACAATATCGCCCGTATTCATAAACTTAAGCGAAGCAGCAAATCGAACGCACAGGGTTGAATAGAGCTCTGTGATTAGTTCGTGTGTCACCCTGTGCGTCCACGCGCAATGTGAGACCTCATAGTAATGTTTGTGAATACGGGCGTATGAGTCAGTCTGCTGAAATTTTAATTTTTCAAGCGATACTTATTGTAGATACCTGCTTCATTACAATTTATGAATCTTTGCATTTACCTCAAATACTTATTGTTGCAATTAAACAACCGGTGCATAAGAAACTACTATAATATAGTGGATGAATGAATCTATTTTTCATAGATATCAGTTCTGTAAATCTAGGTTGAATAACTTAACTCTGTTTTCACTGTCTTTACTTTTTATTATACTAATAGATGTATCGTCAAGCTTAAGCTTGCACGCAATAGTATAAGCTTGTATTTAGTTGTACCACTTGTAACAATTTAGGTTTGTAAATGATGTGATTTAATTACTTTATCTTTCAAATAAATATTCAGACTTTTTATTTTAACGATCAATCATTCAAATCAATGTCGGATGGTCTATCAACAATACATTACCTATTTAAAATGTACTTTTTTGTATTGGTATCACAGATTTCTAACTTTTGACCGATCAAACCTGAATCAACATTAATTTTGTTTTTCATATCATGTAAACTTTAATAACACGGCTTATTATTTCAGTAATTAATCATCACTTTTCATTTATTGTCACTGCGTAATGGTCGCGCGCATGTAAAATTGAATTTGGATTTCCCGTTTAATGAACGCGGATACGCGCTTTTCACAGTTTTTTCAACATTTTAGTTGCACCATTAATCCACTATCACTCCTTTTGTTATCACAGTCCTTGGGGGTTCACTATAATAGCACTATCACATCACATTAGGAAACCATGCACGAATGATACCGACCAATCTCAACCAATCCATTGTCGCTCCGTGCTGTTGACGGTTGTAGGGTAGAAGTTTTGTTTCACAGTTTTCGTAGGTTTTTCGTATCAACCACTAGTCGAAACCGCACTGGCCTTCAAGCTCGTATGATAATTATTCGCGGTGCGCCTGATTATTTATAACATTCATTTTCACGCCTGAAAGAATCGCGCTGCAGCGCGCGCACATTGATTGTAGCGACCATATTGCACTTGCACTGGCCGCAGCGCCCAGCCGTGCTGCGATTTTCATGCTGCATTTTATGTTTGTTTATTTTATTTAGGCTCTCGATAAATCTAAATCAGGTTTGAGAGATACAAAATCATTGGAACTGTTGTTGATCCTATATTCTCGCTGTTAAAAGTATGAAGTATGGAATCAAGGGTAGTTTAAATAACTACCTCGTGATTGTGACTGTATCACAATCTTGTAATATATTTTTAGTAGAGGATGAGATCAAAATGATTTTGAGATTCATTCAATGCTAGCTATAAAATTGAATAGCATTGAAGCTGGTTACTTAGGTAAGCTACAAGATACCTTAATAGCCACGATAGCCCAACGGTGAATTGGTCCGACTGGCCGACTCGAGATCCGAGGAACGCGGGTTCATTGTGGTGAGCCCACTCGTAACACAAGCTTATTTAGCTTACCACGAGGGGCTTTAGCCCACGGGACTATTAGTAATTTGTGCAATACAAATTGATATTAATAAGTAATCTTTTAAAAACCTTACAAGAAAATCCATTCAGTGCGAAAAACATTTTGTTCAGGATTTATTTCTCAGGTTAATGGGCCAGAAATGGAAAATGATTTGAAATTCCGATGAAAGGAAAAACATTTACCTATCATAAATAACTTAGGTACTAATAAATCCTACTACTTATAAAAACAAGCCATTCCCGTTATACAACAGTTTTAATTGAAAATGTAATTATTTGATGAACTAAGTATGTATTTTCATTAAATAGTGTCACAAAGTTAATGAAAACCTATTTACTAAATAATAATACCTACCTACTTTGAAATCTTAGTTATAGCATTTGTAGTAACGCACTATAAAAAGACTCGCATTATAACAAGACTTTCATGATTGTTACCGATATCATATTAGCAATAATAAAGTATTCTTAGACTAGCTTAACCCAGTTGTTACGGATATCCCTTTTTTCTTACGATTCCTGTGATTTTGCATATATCGGCTATTTAATGCATCAAGGCAACAGGAAAAATACAAAAAAAAATATTGGTCTTACGGAAACTCTGGAAAATGGTGTTTGATATACGGAACGCTAGTAATATGTACGACCACTTGTATGAACTTAGAGATAATACCTACTCTTTGCGACTTGCGTAAGTTATTATTTGCATAAAATATGGAATATTCATTGATAAAAAAATATTCAGAGTTAAATTTATTATTTTTCAAATTTAATTCCAGTAGTGTGAACTGTATATTATGCCCAAAACATTTTCTGGGATAAAGGGTAATATTATATTTCTTGCAAAAAACATTGCATTTGTATCAAAGCGTGAGTTTCATAAAAATGTGTGTTGTGACTGAATTTGAGATGTTAAAATACTTCTTCTCTGTTTATGTGGCGGAGAAAATCTCTTGGTTTTGACAGTTGGCGCAATTTTCAATGCATTTGAAGCAACTGTAACCACGCTAAATCATCTCATTTACAAACAATAATTTCTTCATATCTTCAAACATGACTGACCCTGTCTAGGGCAGAATTGGCTATCTAAGCTAACGGGATGCAGTCTTCTTCATCATCACTGGATGAAGAATTCTCTAGTGATTTCTACGTGGGCTCTCATTTGTAATCCAGGCAAATCTATTGACACTTTATTTTCATCACCAGAGTTCTCTTTGGTTAAGTCACCATTACAATTTTCCGGATTTTCCGGCGGGAAAATTGTGATTGAGTTAGGGAAACACTCATCTTCATTTTTCTCCAATTCTTCAATGATTTCATTTAAAGGAATCGGGCCTCGAAGGCAGGCGCTAAAACAACAAAATACCGCAGTTCATATTACTAGCGTTCCTTATACGGATCACTAAGTTTAACGTTGAATTAGTAACAGTTACTATAAAAATGTTTATAATTATGTTATCGATTTACAAAAAGTGGGCTACAAACTTTCATATTTCGGCAAGAAATACTTTAGAATAAATACTTATCATGTTTGTATTCACCTTGAAAGAGTCATCGTAAAATTTACGAAAACAACAAAACGCTTACTATTGAAATGTGACACCCAATGGAGAACAGAACACTTCTGATGGACAAAGGGACCCCACAGCAATCGTTTAACATAAACAATGTTATCAGAAACCACCCTCATTGTTTATAATAATTTAATTTTTATATTGATCCGTATATCAAACGCTAGTAACAAGTGGGTTAAGTCGAGTATTTAATACTCGCGCTAGCCTCCAAAAAATACAAAAGATGACAAAAAATATTATATTTTCAACACAATAATGACAACATGATCCCAAATATGGTGAGAGCTGAGAAGGGCCAGAATAGTCATAAACCGGAAAAAATCAAACGATACCGCGGGTTAAATCAGCATAGTGCCATCTACCGGATGCAGAGTTTCAGTCCGTCGTTGTAAGGGTGATAATAGACAGCAATTGATCGTCGCCCAGGATACGAATCATACTTGAAAGAATCGATTGGATTTTTGGCGTTCGAGTTCTCGTATTGAATACACAAATAATGTTAGCTTCTACGTTGCAGTATACAAGTTTGGATTCGTCCTGAATAATGTAGACTTGCACACGAATATTTAATGTCTTTTTCGTAAAACCGATTCCTCTATCTTCTACATTTTTAATTTTATTCTATTTCAATTATTTGTTGAACTATAAGTTTATTGAGATAATTATTATAGCTCACTGAAAGACATACAACTATTTGTGTACAGAACCTTATAATATTAAATCAAACACAAGTTGTCTAATCATTAACGGAGCTGACGAAATCTGTAGTCGATGTTAATCTGAGTGTATCTATAATAAAATTGGAAATATTATTGGACATTTATTTACTAGCTATCAGCAACAGACATGAATGTCCGTCCGTATATCACGGCCCTTATCGCGCAATCACAGTTTACAGTCCAGGAATCCGATAACATCGGTTATAATTAAAAAAGTTATTTATATTACGTAATATATTGAAGCCACGAATCACAGATCATCATGATAAATCGTCCGTTATTTGGTGCCCGTTAGATTTACCGTATTGAGGTGCATTTTTGTGTTTTACATTGATGTTGCACAATCCTAGACCCTAATCATTTTAATAGTCAAACTGACACTAGATACCACTGAAATTCTACTAAGTATGGGTATTTTGAGGTATTTAGGAGCTTGCAACATGTATGGGAAAATTATTATTTGGGAAGGGGCCTCGAAAATGAAGCTTCTGAGAAAAAAAACTATTGTAAGCTTAATAGTTATTACTAAATTTGAATCTAATTGTAATTAAAAGTTTGACATTTAAGCATTTTGTAATTCACATTTGAAATATTTAGAGCATACGAGTATAATTGGTGTTTTATTTAGAGTGCGCATAAATAAATAAACCGAAAATGTGTTTATTTATAATTCAAATTCATGTTTATTTTTAATTTTAGTGTACTTATGTCTTGTCTAATAAATAAATAAAATACTGAATATTTTTACAAAACGCAAAGTTTGTTTATAGTGGCAAAATATTTATACAAATATTTTTTGTGGAATAATTAATTATATTATTTAATCCATTAAAATATTTAGACATTAAAGTTATTGAAGGTATTTTTATTATAATCTAAGTACCTATATGAACGATAATGTAAAATGTTGAGTAAAGAAGTTGAGACACAATGAATACAGACGTTTACAAAACTTTGTTCATCGAATAAAAAATATAATTTTCCTAAGTGGTAAAAAATATTACATGCATACATACGGGACTATTCCCACCTTTCGTTCCCACCACTGCAACTCCTGTGTAGCCAGGATCTACAGCTTGACCGCCACAAAAACCCAACCAATGAAGGTCAAGTTTGTCATCCGGTTTGTAATATTGACTACAACATAAAATATAAATAAATTACAAATTATAGTCATAAATATATCGTAAAGTTTTTTAGAGATCCCCAACTCGAAAGGAAATAAGAATCATTGTAGGATAACTTTGTTGTGTAGGTAGGTATTTGTATTCTGTCTATATGAAAAAAGAACTAAAAAGATACAAGAAAGAGCCCTGACATTGGAATCACTGCGTGGCTCTCTACACACTTCAATGGGATAGTACATTAAAAAAAAAGAAATAAAACCTACAGCACAGTTAAAGAATTAGTCTAGGTATGTCTTATTTGTAGACGTAGCTTACAAACAGCATACAACATCCATAATCAATGCTCAATTGATTTCGAAAGCAAAGGCGATGTATGTGAGAAGGAGTGGGAAGGAGGAAGAGATGCAGTAAGTCGAATAACCATACGGAACCCTTAGTGGAGTCAGACTCGAAATTTTCCTAAAAATTCAACTGTCAAAAATGACGTTTGACAAACAAAAATTAAGTAATCACAAAAACGCAGAACGGACGGCCAATGGGGCAACAGGGTTAAAGTGGAGGCTACGTACCGGAAAGCGCATCGTAGGAAGTCCACCTACAAAGTGGACCGACGACCTCATAAAGGTAAGCAGGAAGGTGCTGGATGCAGGCCGCTACCAAGCGGTCATTATGAAAATCATTGGGGTACAGGCCTATGTTCAGCAGTGGACGTCCTATGGCTGAAATGATGATAACGATGATGATAAAATGTTACTTTATTAAAATTCCTACGCTAAAAATTATCCATTTGTATTTAATGCCACTATGCAGTCCTAGTTTAACTATTACGAGAAAAACTCATTTTTGCAGTTTTCATACTAGTTGCTATTCAATTAGCCATAAGATAAAAATAATACAGAATACATAGGCTTGTGATACCTTTTTAGAATCTCAATTAACCAAGGAAGTTTCTAAGGTAATGGGCACGATGGTCTTCCTACATTTTTTTACACGACGGCTGATCAAAAGTGCAA